TCCAAATGTAACTTAGAATTTGAAAAATAAAAAGAAGATGAAATAAGAGGTATACAGAAGGTATACAGAAGAAACAGAACTCTGTGGTATGGGGAAGGAGGAAAACCAACCAACTATACCAACCAATAATACAAGTAAGCTTATGAATAGTGTCATCAATGACGAAGGGGGAAGTAATCTCAGATGGTAAGGCTATTATAAATGAACAAAGAAAATTATACGAAAATTTATACGCATCATGTGGTAAAATAACAAATAATTATATTAATATATTTAATGATATAATTACAGCAAAATTAAACACTGTACAGGATGAAAATCTTGAGGGTGATATTACTATAGGTGAAATAAACACAAGCTGTTCCATCAATGAAAAATAACAACAGCCCAGAAATAGATGGTTTCCCAATAGAATTCTTTTTTTTTTCTAGAAAGATCTTCATATTTGAGTTTGCAGATATGTATCAGAAACGTTTAGGCAAAATATGTTAAAGCTCACATGCAACGCAAAACACAACTTTGCAGATTCTGAAACCTTTCAGTATGGACTTACAGTGGCAAATTATCAAAAATGCAAATTCAACTTAGAAAGTTGAAAAATAACGCGATGAAAAAACCCCCCACGAAATCAGAGTTCAAACGATACACTAATTTCACTGCAGCTGGGGTGAAAAGTGGTTTCAACAGCTATGATGCGCTGCTCACATGGCGCATGCACAATGATTAGGTTCGCGCGGCTTGACCCGGGATGCAAGAAGGCGACTCGTAAAAACACAGCAAGTGATGCGTATAAGGATCATCGCTGTGGTCGAAGTTGGAGAACAAAAGATGTTTGTTGTGATTACAGGCATCTTGGGTCTGCTGTAAAAAATACACTGGTTCCATACCTTTTCTTATTTTTGTTCACATCTTGCTTTTTGGGGGGTTGGCAGATTCGCAAACCAAGTTTTCAAGAAAGCGTAGCATTAGAAATACTAATATCATTGTTCAAAAAGGTTTTTTTTAATTCATGTCTATGGAAACATAAAAAAACATGTTGATTGTGACAAGCAGACTGTCATAGACAAAACTCAATATCTGTTGTATTGACACCTATGTGTCTGCCTGCCTGTCGGTTATGGCCCGGGAAAGCCAAATCTGGACCAAACCTCCTTAATTTAGGTGTCGCTTTCGCGGGAACGGTCAAGCTGCAGTGAACACTGAATTTAGCGTTCCCGGGACGCGCGAGACACAAGAAAAACAAAGAAATGTGAGTCGTCGTCTGATACCGTAGTCATGGTAGAAATTTAATAAATATCAATAAATCTTTGAGTCACAGACGGTCACATTGATGGACCTGCGCATTTGCCATTTTGATAAAGAAAAATACAGAGTGTAATGCCTCGTTCAATGGGTGAAAGAACTTACATTCAGCATAAACCTTCTGCAGAAAAATCACAACGTCGAAGTTCCTGGGGAAGCTTGTATTGTGACAAACTCTATAGTTTTTGACTGGTAAAAAGACCGTGGCATGACCCCAGTTGCGAACACAAACAATCACGTGTTTCCGGTGCAATTTTTCACCCCTCCTCCCCAGAAGAGCACAAATAAAAACAATATTGAAGCGTCGTAAAATCATTTCCATTTGCCTTACTTTAAGCGTTGTTATGCAGTAACATTACACAGAGAGTTCTTTATATAGGGCATTTCAATCTCAGTTAATATCAGCAGGGATTATCTACAACTTCTTATAGTCTTCCTGATATCAGTTAACAGGCTTCAAGACTAGACGGTCCGTGATAAAGCTTCTTTTATAAATGATTTCAAATCAGTTGCAATCAATATGAAATAAAAATGAATATGTTATAAATTCATTAACGGACCATTAAGTGCATGGTGAGAAATAACATCTGTAGATTTATGCCACCAAACACGAGTTACAGCAAAGGGTGTGGTATTCGCTGTATTGCATGCAATTTCAATTACCTGAAAAAACGTATGCAGCAAGAGGAATTATCAACTGAGTTACAAAAAGAAACATCGATCAAAGGATTAACCGATAACACGCTGATTGATTAATTACTCTCGCACAGCGGATTTGTCAAAAGGTAATAGTAATTATGTATGTAGATCTACTAATCTATACTGAACATACCCTGTCGTAAAGTGCCTGTGTTAAAACAAAACCATTCTTTCAAAGGATTAACCTTCAATATGTTGACTGATTGTTCATTATTGGCTAACTAAATTACCTTTTAAAAGAATGGCGGACATCATACAATTAGTTGCCAGATGTGCTATCTTGGATGACCAATGAGACTATATACGCCAATGTGAAAAACCTGAAACAGGCTCGTGACCACTTGAGAAACTACCACTAGCAATAACGATATACCACTTTTTCAAATATTTGACTGTTAAAAGACACATGACATGGAACAGGGTTCGTTGTCGGCTGCAGAATGGCAAATCGGTCCTTTATGTGGATATTGATGTATACATTCCTCGAGCAAGGTAATAGCCGGACATTGTTGCTAATTTTAATATTTGAAATATAATAAACTAATTAGGATTATAAGACAAAATATAAAGACGCACATTGATTTCGTTATTTTTCAGTCCTAACATTTTTACCACGGGCAGATGGTTAAACTTCAAAACCTTTAAACTTTCTATAATAATGAAGATGGAAATATTATCGGTTTAAAAATATATCTTCTCACTCTATACCTATACTACCAATTGCGCATGCGGGTGGCGCAGCAGAGGTCACGAACTAGTCAATAATCCTGGGATATCATCCGGGTTCTCACGGGAGAAAAACAATAACAAAAGCAACAACCAATCCAGGGAAATTGCTCTGCATCATTGCCGCTTTAACTACTGCTGTCTCAGTGTGAATGTCAACTTCAACACTGGTTTTGATGTCCCGGACACAACCTGAAGATGTCTGAGTTCTCTTATCTTCAGGTTTAATTGACTGGTCATTTCGTCAAGTTAAAACAGTCTCTCGTAATTTCCGAGTAACCTTTAATGACTGGGGATGTGGGATTGCATTCATGCATGAACATAAGCTGTCTGGCTGACAGTCAAAATAGAGTGACCTCCCATGGCTTCGGGGGTGAATCGAGGAACCGCACATAAAATAACACCAGCGCGATGAGGCCGTTACACCCACAGCCAGCAGTCGTCTCACTGCGTTCCTGACTTTGCCGATGCTGATCTTGTCACTTGGAGCATTTTGTTGCGTAGATGGGAGTGAGTTTAGTTTTACGCCGCTTTTTAGCAATGTTCCAGCAATATCACGGCTGGGGACTCTGGAAATCGGCTTAACACATTGTACCCATGTGGGGAATCGAACCCAGGCCATCAGTGTAACAAGCGAACGCTTTAGCCACTAGACTGACCCACCGTTAATGCACAGGTAATAGTCATTATGAGAGGTTGTCACTCTCGGTTTTGCAGTCGTGGGATTGTCGGATGTCTGGCCAGTCTGGTTGATGGGACTCATCAAGAGGTATTTCCGTCAGGTCAATAATGCTAAATAAATATGTACAACTTCCTGTTTGATGATGACTGAAAATAGACCATATGTAATCGGTTGAAACTTGCTACACAAGTCTGTCCCATCACAGACGTATGTATCAGAACGTGCTGTAATATCCTTCCCTTTTATTGTAGCTGTTAAACAGAAGCTTTGCCTTCATTAGCTTCATCAACATGACTAATGATTCAGCCAAGACGACCCATGATAGAACTGTAAGCCGAGATAGTTATTTTTACTAGTTTTTCCGAAAAAAAATCATCTTCTTGGAGACCTGAATGGTCGATTCTTACCAATTCGTCGAGACAACCTCTAAAAGTACACAAAACTGCAACTAGGTTGAAATATTTAGCATGTTTTCACAAAGGTTGGGCAAGAGTTATCTTATGTACAAATGTCTCTTTCTCATGCACAAATGTCATGTCGACCTACCAAAAATAGCAGCCAGATAAACCTTGGCCTGCATGCACTCCACACCTTATATATACAGGACGACTGTCTCACTCCAGGAAACATGTGGCTCTCAACAAGCAGTGTGTGGCTATGCGTGACAGTCTTGATTTATATGTTAAACCTTGTCGGTGGTCAATATCACGTGACCATCTTTCCGGACTTCGTCATCAAAGGAGGAAGGAAGATGTTTGATCCTGACCGCTGGAATGGCCATATGGGATTTGATAATCCCGGTATCATCAAGTACGTGAACAAAACTGGTTCCAGGTGTGGCCGCTGGAACAAGGGCGATGAAGGTATCTTTGGGAAGGTACTTGGTGCAATTATATTAATTCCTTCAGATTGAAATACTTCTGGTATTGACCCATAACGATCCGGGTTAGAAGTGATCTTCAGTAACCCATGCTTGTCGTAAGAGATGACTAAAGGGACGGGTGGCAAGGCTGACTTGGTTGACACATGTCATCGTATGTCAGTTGCATAGATTGATGCTCATACTGTTGATCACTGGATTGTCTGGTCCAGATCCGATTATTTACAGACTGCCGCCATATTGCTGTAATATTATTGGGTGCGGAGTAAAGCTAAACTCACTTACTCACTCACTCCTGGTATTTTGCCTTTAAATCAGTACGGGACTGGCTTACCAATTTACGTCACGCCGAAGACCTGGGTTCGAATCCAAACATGGGAACAGTGTGTTCCCCGCCGTGATATTGATGGATTATAGCTAAAAGCGGCTTAAAACTAAATTCATTCACTCACTCACTCAAGCCTCAATTTACAACACGCATCAACACTCTATCCTATACAAGTCAGTTGCGTCAGCACACTCCGATGTACAGCACGCTCATTTTGGCACACCTCTGGTTAGCAACAAATGATCACATCGTTGTGTACAGGCACCAGAAGACCCTCACCGGAAGGGCTATGCCGATCCAGCGTACTTCCAGTATGCGCAGACCCAACAGAATATAGTTTCTGCGTATAGGAACAACAGAGCTGGATACGGACGCGCCCCCTGGGAGAGAAATGATGATGGATCTTTATGGTAAGATCACTGTATATGTTTATGTCGTATTAAGAGTGAGTCAGTGAGTAAGAGTGAGTGAGTGATGTTTTACGCCGCTTTTAGCAATATTTAAGCAATGAGCTTCACATATTTTATGCATGAATCGAATCGAACCCGGGTCTACGACGTGACGAGCGAACGCTTTATTCACTAGGCCTCCCCACCGTCCCCATGTTGAAAGAGTCAGCTTTTAACAAGACAATCAACCTTTATTACTGAACATGAATTGGAATTATTAGGAATACAATTTAGAAATTTGAAGTTGTTAAATGTCGGTTTGTTGCTGTACTTTTAAGTGATCGAATGCAACCCGAAAATTGAACTGTTTTATCCCCAATGTAAATGCTTTTGGACACTTGTCACGCCGGGACGGCTATGTGCAATATTTGAGTGAGTGTAGTTTTACGTCGCGCTCAGCAATATTCCAGCTAGATGGCGGCGGTCCATAATAATTAAGTCTGGACCAGACAGTCCAGTGATCAACATCATGAACATCGATCTACGCAATTTGAATACGATGACATGAGTCAACCAAGTCAGCGAACCTGACCACCCGATCCCTTCAGACACCTTTTACGACAAGCATGGGTTACTGAAGATCAGTTCTAACCCGGATGAATTTGGCAAATCATCTAATATAAATGTTTGTCTGATGATAATGAACACCAATAGTTGTGGCACTTCTTATTGGCTATCCCCTTCTTTTTAAACTGTGACTTTCAATCTCAAAACTGTATGATGTCAAGGGCTGACAGTATTGCTCAAACATGATATATTTTGCTCATTTTACCTATACATCAGAGCCATTGGCTTGAACACAAGATCGAACTCCAGCACAGCCACAAATATATTTTGGAAAAATAGCATTTACAAATGGGACCCAGATATCTTACCAATATGAAATGTGCTGATGTACTACCAGATGCAGAATCCCGAAACCTACAGTTAAGTACATGCATCATTGTTTCTCCTTATAGCCCAAGAGTGGCCACACTGGATGGACACCTCTCAACACAAAGGCCACTTCCCGAACAACTTGGATGCTGCTGCTGATATGGCTGCCATGCTGCTCAAGGCCGTCCACGATGGAACCAAGGGGGACGAGCCACCATATTTTGAACCTATCAACGAAGTCGACGTTATGTGGAGAAACAACCTTAACTGGACACAAATTACTGCCTACCACAAGTTTGCCAGTGCAAAAGTCAAGGCCACTTTACCACATGTGAAGGTTGGAGGTCCGGCATATTCTGGTGGAATTGCGGGTGTGGACAACAAGGACTTCAAGGTCTGGGAAAATCTCATGGAGTTTATGGACATGGCCCTCAAGCACCTTGACTTCATCTCATTCCACCCTTTCAGTAAAATGCAAATCACAGGAGAATCGTATTCCTTCCAGGGTCCCACTGAAGCCCGCTTTGTGGGGATAATAGATCTAATTGAAAGTTATGCCCATTTGAAAATTGGCAAGGAGTTTCCCATCATCTGTTCAGCCTATGGTTTGGGCAGAATATCAGGAGTAGACATGCAGAAGCCTAACCCACTGATCGATTATGGATATGTCTACCTGCAGAATGCAGAACTCTTTACCATGCTGAATCACCGTGGAGTTGTCGACAGAGCTGTGGTTTTCGTGACCGGAAATAGAGCCATTTTCGGACAAAGCAGCATTGATCACAGTCTCCTTGACAACAACAACCACGAGAGGGCCCCAGCTGAGGCGTCCCACTTCTGGCAGGTGCTTTCAAAACGAATGACGTATCTCAGAACAGATAGTCAGTACCATGGAGCTGAGAGAGTCGTGGCATCTCACGCTTTGGTGGATCAGACTTCTAAAACTGTGGTACTTCTCCTGCATAACTTTGACAAGAAACAGACAAAGGTCAAGGTCCAGTTTGGTCATGGATGGATGAATCCGTCCACAGCAATCATGTCCTGTGTCTACTTGAACGCCCAAAAGGTTACCGTACGAGACAAGGAATCAACGGTTCATCTCAACAACGGTGTCATCACTCTTCCCACTGAGGCAAGCTGCTATCTCAAGTTCCAGTCTGCCTTCGACTTTGCTCACAGAAAGACAATCGCAGAAACTGTTCACTATGGGACAGATGTTGCTACACCAATACAGCAAAACGTTGTCACCACAAGCATTAATGTTGGCCATGTGAGCAATGTCCAGTACGCCTATCTACGAGTCTGCATCAGCCTCAGTGACAGGACCAGAAATCCAAAACCAACATTGGTGCAGCTGAACGGCAAATCTCTCACTTCGTATTACTCTCTTCATCAGCAAAACGACAGTAATTACGAAACATCATGGATGACGATGCAATATCTAGTTCCGGGCTCATACCTCAAGCAGAACCAAAATGAAGTTAAGCTCCATTTTGCGAAAACAGGAGGGCGAGTGATAAGTGTCGTTGCTGTTGTGGGAAGTTTCTAAACAAGCACGTCTTACTTGTACATATGCGTACATAAAGAATGGAATGCACATTAGAGTGTCTGTTTTAGTTTGTTTTTGTGGCACAGCAATCACCGGTGCAACAAATCTCCCAGGCTTACAATGAGCCTATGATTTGGGTTTCGAATTTCATATTAGACTTGAGGTTGTAAAATGAGGTGCATGTGAAATACTGAAATAGTGTCGAAGCAATTTATGATAACTATAGATCATGTTATGCCAGTTAAGCTTTACTGAAAAATGGGTAATTAGATTTTTGGGCATCACACTATGGCTTCCTTTAAAGTAAACGTTTATTCTTAAATCTAACGAAACGCTCACTATGCATGTAATATTGATTTCAGCTATGGAATCAAATTTGAGTGAGTAGTTTAACCTACCCTTATTGATTACCTGTACCAATCATGACGGTGTTTTTTTATATTTCTTGCTTGGGATTGTCAGGTTGGGGCCATTCGAAATTGTCTATGGACTAGTTTCACTTCACTTAATTGCATACCTTTACCTAACCTTGATCTTTTAATATTTCTTGCTTGGGACTTTCAATCGTGTGTCAATATTCGTTTGTTGTATTTACCCGACTGACAAAGATCGTCGTAGCAAGAAGGACATGATGTTTTACATTCATTCTCCAGCATACACCTGTGCTTGAGGGTTTCCGTGGCAACAATCGGCATATGCCCATACAATCCACCAGCCCTGTGGTTGCTTAGTGACGATCTGTTTGTAGCCGATTGAAGGGTGTGTCAACTGCCCTCCTTGAGTGTTATGTGTCTTTAGGATGTCTGATCACGAGAGTGAATCTGTTAAGTTTGGGTCATGCAAATTTGTCTATGGAAGCCGGATTTTGTCTTGCCTCGTTTCCATCCACGCTGAACAAGGCACAAAATTCAGGGCACTGTCGTAGACCTATAGCTATAATTAGACAACGGAGACCAGTCACCCGACAGTGCACTAGTTTACACATTCTGCATTCGAACACGTCTCCACTGAAGTCGCCATCTTGATCATGAATAGTATTCAATTTGTCTTCGCGATTTTGATGGGGTTATATGTAGTATCGTTTGTCCAGCCAAAATGCAATTCCACAATGCCAACTAGTTCAGCAAGTGAAAGTGGGCGTTGAAAGTCAGCTATTTCTAGTGATTCGGGAAGAAACGATTTCACGAGATCCTTGACGTTGCTCTTGTGTAACCGAATTTGAAGGCACGTTGCCACAGTGTTGCTGTGATTGTACGACAGTGCACAAAGTATTTAGTGGTCGTCAGTTTCAAATGAAAGCAAATGACGGATGTTAGTAAGTATATTATGCGAATAAAAGTGCTATTGATAAAACTGACATTCGCAGAGCAGTTAATAACATGAACACAACTTTCACTTCTCAAAAATTCTAAAAGCATAGTAGCAAAATTCTGATAGTAACTTGTCGTTTCTAATTAGGTTGTTATGTTTGTCAGTGTATAATTGGTATAAATTTGTACCACATTATTTTCAACCGTGCATTTCAGTTGAAAGAGATAAGGAGGCGTCGCTTACGAAACTCTCTGCAGTAAATAATGACAAGAAGGTTTGGTGTTGTCTAAAAGATGAACTTGACTATGTTACAAGATGTTTTCGGGGATGGTGAGGTAGTGTAATGGTTAATGAGTTCGCTTGTCATGCTAAAGTGAGTTAGTCAGTGAGTAAGTATGGTTTTAGGCCGTTTTTAGCAATATTCCAGCAATATTACGGACACCAGAAATGGGCTGCACACATTGTGCCCATGTGGGGAATCGAACCCGGGTCTTCGGCGTGACGAGCCAACGCTTTAGCCACTAGGCTACCCCACCGCCCCGTCATGCTAAAGACACGGGTTCGATTCCCCACAAGGGTACAATATGTGAAGTTCACTTCTGGTGTCCCCCGCCATGATATTGATGGAATGTTTCTAAAATCGGCGTCAAAACTAAACTTACTCACTGCAAGTCGTTTCCCAATCTCAAACTTACATTTAACTTGAAATGTGTCTGTAAAAGAAGTCTGTGTGAAACCAACAAACAGCAAAAATAACTATACTCTCTAAAAAGGTAGGGGAATCTGAAAGTTCAACTTGGATAGGAAGTACAAGCCTTAACAAAACTTTTCCAAGACAAACATCTTATGGACGCACCACCATTTCTCTTTATCACCATCCCTAAACACAAGGCTTACACAACGCAGTGCATGAGGTGTCATTCTTGATTTTGTCGGTTTTCAAGAAGGTCGATAAAACGCTGTTGACCATTAATTTTGACAATCATCTTGCATCACACAGATGCTAGTGTTTGTTTCTAGCCGGTTTTATTATTATTATTTATTTATTTTTGTTTGAAAATGAAATCATACTCATGCAAATTTCACGTCATACACAATCATCCTTCAAGAGGATTACTGTACAAACAACAATGGTCATAAGGAAGTGCAAGTGGTGATACACCCTTAAAACATTCATTATTATCATATCAATACGAATCCAATTGAAATGTAATATGAAAACAGATATTATAGCAATAAAAAGAACATTGATGATTTCAACAACAGTTTTGTCTCCAAGTCGTAATATAGCAAGCATGTCTACTGAATCTTAACAGAAACAATGCAATACAAATGCAACACTATTCTGCAATGTCCACAAACTCTGACACATGGCTACACTCTCCCTCAAGGGGAAAGGAAGCGTGAACATAGAAAGCCTTTGCTCATTAAAGGATAGCTGCTAAAAATACAGTTAAAAACGATTTTACGTAAATAGTATGAGAATACCATGCCTGCAGTCAAATCCCAACACCCTAGCCTACTTGGAATGATCTATGAGCAATAATATTTTCATTGCCTTACTATGCTTGTTGTTAAAATACATTTAACCCATTCAACACCGTAGGCTGGAAAACCGGCCAACAGGTCACGAGTCCCCAGACACCGCAGGGCGGTTTACCGGCCAGGCAGTAATTGCATGAAAGTGATATATAATTTTAGGACGCTACCTATCATATGATTCATTTATTAAATGTATCACTTTTCTCAATCTCTGAAAACATTTACTACATTTCAAATGACCATATACAGTACAACCAGAATTTATTGAGAATTTAAGATTGTATTTCTTTTTCTTTTTTCACTCATTACTCACGTATTTAATATGAATATTAGCAGAACATAACTCCAGATTCAAAGACAGGTGAACACTTAGTATTTTGTCAAGTCACCATGGGCAGCAATGCAGGCTTCACTGCGGCGGGGCATACTACTGATCAAAGAAGTTAGAGAGTCGTAGTCCATGCTGCCCCAATATCGGACCACCTCTTCTTTCAGCAATATTTGTCAGATTTTTCTTATTGACACTTTCCTTCATAAGTCCCCAAACATTTTCTATTGGATTTAGGTCAGGGCTATAGCTTGGCCAATCTAATAATGTCATATTTTGGATCCGAAACCAGGCCTGTGAATGCTTTGAACGATGTTTTGGGCCGTTGTCCTGTTGGAAAATCAAAAAATTTCCATAAAACACGTGAGCAGATGGAAGTAAATGTCCCTCGAGAATATCTGTGTACCGCTCACTGTTCATATTCCCTTCAAATAGACCCTAACACAGATATACCAACCAACACGTTAAATTTCGGACTGTACTTTGGGCGCTGATACAAAGGTTTTTCGGTTTGTTTAGTCCAGAATTTCAGTGTATTAGGAAACAGCCACGCAGAACTTTTATCTGAGAAAATCACATTGTCCCAGTTAAAATTTCTATGCTGTAAGCACCAGTTCAAATTTCACTTCTTTTGTTCAGGTTTCATGATCGGTGATGGAATTCCTCGACCTTTCTGCCAACCCATTGCATGCAGCTCAGTTCTAATTGTCTCCTTACAGACAGCCACAGTTCCTCTATCAATCATATCCAGCCTTAAGTTTTCTAAACTCCTTCGTTTGTTTTTAGTAACAAGAATACCAAGCCGCCTCCTGTCACCAACAGTCAATTTTCTGGGCCTTCACCCAATGCCACATCCATTTGCAATATTTTTCAAAACACGATAAACAGTGTTCAAAGGGATGCCTGTTCGACTTGAAATCACTTCAGCTGATCTGATATCTGTTATAATACTCTAAAATGATCTTCCTCTTCTCAAAATCATCCATACTGAGGATCACTGAAA